TGATTTTACTAGGCTAGAAGTTTTAGATTGCTCTTATAATAACTTACATAATGTATTAGGTCTTAGTAATTGTGATAATTTAACTGAAATGCATTGCGACTTCAATTTATTTGCTGATGCTGACTTCTTAACTGAATTACCTAATCCTGAAAGGTTAACTTATCTTAATATAAGTAACTGTAATTTTAGCAATCAGCAAACTTTAAATTTCTTAACTCCTTTTACTAATTTAAAAGAATTATATCTCAGTAATGCTAATGAAGGAAAAAGATATAAGCAAAGACATATGAATCGTTTTACTGGTTCTTTGAAACCCTTATTAAAATTAACTAAATTAGAAAAACTTGACCTTAAAAATACTGATATCAGTAGTGGTTCAGAATTCCTTACAGAAATTAAAGAATTACAAAATGAACTAAATATGGAAAGAGAAATGGCTGATAAGTCTCTAAAAACAGCCCAAGAATGGCGAGAAAGACAGTTAAAGGAAATAACTGAGACAAAGGATAAAAGAATAAAGGAGTTAGAACAAGAATTAGAGAAATTAAAATTGGAAACAAAGGTAGGAGTTTCTCCTAAATAACCTATGAGTCACTTTTTAACAAAAAAAACAATCATCTTTTGTTCAGTTGAAACAACCAAAATAAAGAAATAAATATGTTAGATAATAACTATTCCCATAGAGAGAGAGTAGTTTCACTCAACAATCACAATTACTTTCAGAAATCATGCAATTAGAATCTAATCCTACTAATTCTAATAGTCAAGAATTAGACTCTAAAAAACAACAGTTAAAAGATTTAGAGACTAAAGCCAAAGAACTAATTAAACCTTTACCATTAGATACTCAAATTACTATCTTACAGAAAGAAATCCAAGTTTTAGAAAGCAAACCTACTAAAAACCCTCTAGAAAAGGCATTATTAGTTGATAAAAAGAAAAAATTAGCGGAATTATTAAGTAAGCAGGATAATTCTAATACTAATAATAGTGAACCTAGTGTTAAAACTGCCCTCTATATTGGAAGTGGAGTAATTGGAGTAATTTTGATTGGTTGCTTATCTTAGTAAGAAGAAAGAAAAAACATTAAATTGCCTATGGTCAGAATGCTTAAAAATAGCAAATTAGTATAATTAAGATCGAATGCTACCTAATTTGTTATAAGTAGTGACTGTAAAAATGATTTCCAACATAATTACAAATTGCAACAACACAAATTTAATAAAATATGGTAAATGCTCAAGAATATATCAATCACGAATATCCCAAAAATAAAAGGAATGATGTTAGAGAGTTGAGTATTGGGAGAAGAAATCTTCAAGGCATAAATACTGATTTAGAAGGCAAATTAGATTTGAGAGAATTCGTAAATTTAGAAAAATTAAATTGCTCTTGCAATTTTCTCACTAATCTTATTTTGCCAAAAAATCCAACTAATTTAAAAGAGTTAAATCTAGGTAATAATAATTTTTCTCCCCAAGATCTAACTTTTCTAGTTAAGGCTACTAATTTAGAGGTAATTATGCTAGGAAATAATAATCATGCAATAATTAACAAAGGAATTTGCAATAAATTCACTGGTTCACTAGGTTATTTGAGTAGAATGCAACAATTGAAATACCTTGATATCAGTAACACTGATCTTAATGAAGTAAATGTAGATGAGTTACCAAATAGTTTAGAACAAATAATTTATTCAACTAAAGGAAGACCAAATTGTAAATTAGTTCAAATCACTCCTTACCTAAAAGAATTTGAAGGAAAAAAAATCCATCCTAATTTTACCCTTAAATTATGAAGAAAATGAAAAAGTAAAGGATTTAAAAAAGAAGAAGTTAAAGAATGAATTCAAGTCGGAGTTGAACCAAGAGATTTTATTTTTGTTGATTATTTAAAAAATGTCAAAAAATTTACTCCGGAATGAATTTTAAACAACAAAGAAAAATTCAAAAATTGGAAAGGAAGGTACAAAAAATATGAAGCATGTCTAAATTGTCAACAACCCAACATTAGTGAAAATTGATGTCAATCTTGTACAGAAAGAGAATGAACTCAAAATTTAAAGCAATTAACAGGTCAGGAAACTATTGAAAAGTTTATCAAAGAACAACCAATGAATAATGAATTGAGGAGGTTAAAATGAATTTCTTATGAGGGATTTACTAATATTAAGTACCTTGCTGAAGGAGGTTTTAGTAAAATCTACACAGTGCCAGCACGAAGAAAAAAGAAAGTTGTTCTAAAAGTTTTAAACAATTCGCAAAACATTACTTTAAAATTTTTGCAAGAGATTGCTAATCATAATTTGGCGATTAATACCAAATTCATTAGTTTTGTTGTTAAATGTCATGGTATCTCACAAGACCCCGAAACTAAAAATTATGTGATGGTTATGGATTATAAAAAAGATGGTAATCTGCGTCAACTTTTGCAACGAAAAGATAAAAAGAAAACTAAACAATTGAGTTGAAAAAATAAACTTAATAGATTGTGCCATATTTCTCAAGGATTAAATTATATTCATCAACGAGGTTTAGTTCATGGAGACTTGCATTCAGGCAATATTTTAAACGAAAATTCTATAAGTTATATTACTGATCTAGGTTTAAGTCGATCAATCGATTCTCAAGTTGAAACAGAGAAAATTTATGGAGTATTACCTTATATAGCTCCTGAAGTTTTACGAGGACAACCTTACACCCAAGCATCAGATGTTTATTCTTTTGGAATAATTGCTTATGAGTTATTTGCTAACACTTATCCTTATTATGAATTTAAAGATTTAGATGAAAACGAATTAATTTTAAAAATCTGTAGAGGACTAAGACCTAATATGGATGAAGTAAGAATACCTTACTTATTAAAAGAAATAATTAAGCAAAGTTGAGATGCTGATCCAGAAAAGAGACCAATAGTTGAAAAAATAGAAAATATTTTGAGATGCTGATGTGCAGGATTTGTGAATAAAGAAGACAAGGGAATAGGGGAAAAATACGACCAACTTCTTCCGAATACTCCTTACCGAATATATCCTACCGCGATTACTACTAGTAAAAT